CCCCCCGAAGAAGGGAAGTCAGAAGTCAAAGAAGAAAATTTAAGTTCGTGCCTTTAGTTATTATTATTTTTTGTATATAACAAGAATTAGGTTTTTATTTTAATACATCTTTTGAATGGGATAAAAAACAACTACTTGAGTTTTCACCTGGATTCCTCCGGACTTCGACAGTTTTCCTGTAGGGCACAATACCCGAATCTCCGAAACTGACAGGAAAGTGCACCACCATCGATGAAATTAATTATTTGTAAAATTGTTATTTGTATTTCTATTTTTTGTTAACCAAATCAGTATCAAATAATCAGTAATTATCTTTTTTTTTCTAAATAATATTAACTTTTAAATTATATATTAATTAGTATCAATGAATCAGGAGATGAGGTCATAACCTCTCATTTAATCTCTCACTTGCCAGGTAACTGTGTAAACAATGAACCGTAGATAGTACTATATTGGAATACGGCCAATAATAGTCTGGTGAACCTGCAATGAACAAACTATCATGTCAAATAAACAGAAACATATTTTTACTTTAGATTTGAAAAAAAATGTCAAATTAAAACTAACAAAATTATTAAATTTTTCTAATACTGTCGAACAACAGAGTGTTCTTTAATCTTTAATACCTCTGTTTATAATCCTTCTAACTGGAAGTTAATTGTTTAGATATAATTAGTAACTAGAATTCCAAAATGAGAGATCGCTGGAACTAACTTTCCTTCTACCTGATAATGCGAACTGGTAACTACTTAAGTCATTAACAAAGGGTATAGTAACAAAAAAATTACCTGAAAATTATACGTGATAATGACCATATTGATGGTTAATCATTTCTATTGCATTCTTTGAAATAGTAGGATCAAGAATTATTATGAATCAGTGTGAGTTAGTGTTTTAAAAATGGATGTGCAAATTATTGAAACTTCGAAGGGAAAACCATGTGCATTCTATAAAGGGTACAGTTTTCGTATGAAAAAAACAAATAAAGATGGTTCTTTTATGGATTAAAGATATAAAACAAATTATGGATAATAACATAATAATTAAGGAAGCCGAACATCTGTGTAAGCCGAGTGTTGCAGAGACAGAAGTGAAGCAATGTATCGTGAATGCTCAAAAAACAGCTAGGGAAGACAATAGTTATTTGCCGATGTCAAAAATATATCAAAATGAATTTTAAAAATTATATAGTCAAGGACTGGATTTCGTGACAGACATCCCAAAATTCTCTTCATTGAAAAGTGATTTAAACGATTGTAGAAAACGTGCGCGTGGGCTGCTCACAAATTCAGCGGCAGCATCCGAAATAGTATTTCCAGAAGAAATTATTACAATGAGCGACAAAACGAAATTTTTATTTATCGACAAGACCACTCCCTCGGGATACAGAATCTTGGTGTTTGCCAGCAACAAAGCTAGGAGATTTTGGTTAACAGTAAGGACACTGTATTTATGGATGGAACATTCAAAAGCTGCAGTAAGCAATTTAGTCAAACATATACCGTTCATATCGATATTGGTAGTACGTCAGAAAAGACAAATACAATTCCATTGATATTTGCGTTACTTCCTAACAAAACCAAAGAGACATACGATATGTTATTTTCATCAATGAAAGAGAAACTACCAAATTGGAAACCATGTCTTATAAAACTTAATTTTGAACAAGCAGTGATTGGTGCCTTAGAAAAATTATTTTCCCGAAGCCAAAATTTCTGGTTGTAATTTTCATTTCAATCAATGTATATGGAAAAATGTTCAAAATATTGGACTTGTTTCTGAATACACTGACAACGAAGAGATACGTTTGCACATAAGAATGTGTGTTGCGTTAGAGTATCTACCCATAGAAGATATCGATGATGGCTGGTTATGCATTCAAGAAACCTCTCCTATTTCTGAAAAAAATTGAACAGTCTTATGACTACTTTGTCAAACAATGGTTAGAAAATATTCATATTACCAAGGAAATGTGGAATTGCCATGATCAAAAAGACATCGCAGTAATAACGTTTTAGAAGGTTGGAATCATCGTCTGAATACATTAATAAGACCACATCCCAATTTATTCCAATTAGTGAAGTGCCTGGTTTAAGGATATTGGCATATATGCAGAAGCTGCAATAAATAGACAATTTTTTATTCCCAAGAATTTTTTGTATTTTACTGTATAAAAAGTCTGAAAAAAACGGAAAAAAACAAAAAAAATTAAAAAAAATTAACAAATTCTTCTAGTCAAGAAGACCTGCAAACACTACTAGATAGTGTAGTATGTAGTAGTTGAGAGTTGTAGGGAGGCAGGTCTGGATCTGAACATACGGAAAACCAAAATACTCGTTATAAGTAAACAACAGCATATAAAACCGTCTTTATATGTAAATAATACCAAACTTGAGCAAGTTATAAAAATTGTTTACCTTGGACAGCAATTAAATTGTAACGCAGAAAGTCACGGTGAAATTAGATCTAGGATAGAGCAGGCTAGAGCTGCTTTTAGAAGGATGTCCAAGGTGTTGAAGGATGTAACAGAGACCTAAAATTGGCATTGAGGATCCGCCTACTTCGCTGCTACGTGTTTCTCGGTCTTACTTTATGGTGTCGAGTTCTGGACTGTGAATAAAATCGATCTAAATCGCCTTGAGGCTTTCGAAATGTGGTGCTATAGAAGAATTTTAAAAGTTTTCTGGGCGGAGAAAATTCGAAACTTCACAATACTAGAACGTCTCAGCAAGACTACTTAGATCATAAAAAGTATCAAACAGAAAAAGCTGGAGTATTTCGGACATACAAAATAACTTCAGAACAAAATCCAGGTCTTTCTTTGGAGCTGAGGATAAGCGCCTTAAGATGCTACGTGTTCTTGACTTTGTTACATGGAATGGAAAGCTAGACACTAAAAGTAGACAATATAAAGAAGTTGGAAGCATTTGAGATGTGGTACTATAGAGGGATTTTGAAAATACCTGGATTTAACGAGTTACAAATGCAAAAGTGTTAAGGTTACAATGTTACAAAAGGATTGCAAGGTGATAAAGAACATCAACACAAGAAAGCTGGAATATTTAGGTTACATTACCATAGGTAAAAAAGAATTTCCTAGCTGAGAAACTTAAGAGAGTGGTATAGTTGCAGCTCAATAGATCACTTCAGAGCAGCCGCTAATAAAGTACGGATAGCTGTGGTGCTGGCCAACCTTCGATACGAGAAGAAACTTCGACAAGAATAGGATATAAAAATTGACAATTTATCTAGAAATGACAATATAGAAGTCAATTATATTCTGTGCAAAATAAGAAATTGTATAGAGGTGAACTAAAATCAATATGATCTACTGTTCGATCGCATACTTTTTACATTAAAAATTTTCTGAGGATTATCTGGAATTACGTCATCGAGGTTTTAAAAGCAAGTAGTGGTGAGTACCAAATGCAATCGATTTTGACTTTGAGAAAATACCACAAATTACCAACGTCAAAAATGAATAAAGTAAGTACATGTCTTGATAAAATGACAGGAAAATTCCAACATATAAATAGTTGAGGGCCATCTGCCTAGGAACAATAGGTAAAAGCTGATAAACAGACTGGATTAGAAAGTTTAAAACATCACTTATTAGATTATATTTCAAAACAAAGTAAATAAGTATATTTGAATGTTAATTCTTTTCAAACTAAGATTGTAACATTAAAATTTTAGGAAAAAAAAATTATGTTCTCAAGAAGTACTTTCATTATTGACAATATCGAAACATTTTATTATTAAAAGTCGAAAACAATTAAAAACCACGTTTATATTTATATAAAGTACTTTAAAAATGAAGGTATATTACTCTTGAGAAAAAATAATATTTTTTAACAAACAAAAGATATAGGTAGAAAAAAAGAGGTTTATAAGTGCTACAAAAAAACAAAACGGTAGACCCTATAAAGTGAATGAAATGGACACAAGATTTTTTTGACTTTCAAGGCAAAAATTCAACAAAAATTCGGATAACGAGAAGGTAGTATGGAATAATATACAAATTCTTAAAGTAAAAAAATATTTTCCTACAAAAGTTTTTTACAAAACTAACTTTGACAATAAAACCTATAAAACAATTGACCTTTCTACTCGTCGTTTTTCTGATAATAATATTTTAGAGCAATATAACTTAAAACCAGCCTACAAAAATCCTCCTACTGTAGGAGAGAAAACAAAAGAGCATTTACTGGAATTATGCAAAAAATCTTATTGCAAAAGTACACCAATCATCTTATTTCAATTTGTGAGTTAATTTTTTTGTAAGTGATTTATAATATACAATTATGATTATTAAATTTATCTAATAAAGTACCTACCATTTATAACTTTGTCTGGTTTTTCATTGTTAGGTAATGGATTTTGGGAACAGCTATGACCTTGAAAATGCCACAAAGAATATAACTAAATATCTCTTTTCTTACTCATATTCTTTAAAGTCTTTTACGATATTTTAGAATCGAAGATATGTAATTATATTATTAATGTATTGGATTTTGACAAGAGCTATGCATTATGCCTATTTAGTACACAAGTTTATGTGAAATGTTCAAGGTCATAGCTGTTTCCAAAATCCATTACCTATACTGCCATATCTTACAAATATTTATAATGGTTAAATATTTCTTGTTTTTGAAAAAACAAATCCATTCGTATGCTATTGAATTACTAATATTCAGTTACTTCTCTTAAAATATCTATTCTGTAGAGGAAAAGACACGTCACTCATATTTTCATTTGCCTCTCCTGTTAAATTTATAAATTTGCAGTTGTAGCGGTAGTGAATTGGATGTGCGCAAGTCAGAGATAGAACGAAAAATCTCAATTCCCGATACGGTTTTCGGGTAACGGCATCTAGCTAGTTGTTGATACGTCTTTCGGTTACCAAGAGGTGAGCTATCTAGTGGGTGGTTTATAATCAATGATATAGCATAGAAACCTAAAAATCAAGATAATTATATATTTTTTATTTTTATTTGTAGTTGGGTTCTACAACAATAGTTCCTCTTCTAGACACTGTATTTCAACTGGCAGTAACAGTACTTTTCCCTTTGATGATTGGCCAAGTTTTAAAGAAACACTACAAATTGAAAACCCAAACGTTGCCTTTAAACACAATCAGTCAGTGTGCTCTATTATTCGTTATTTATACTACATTTTGTGATACATTTCTAGTACCAGAAACGGGACTTTCCGCTTTAGACGTACTTTTTACAATATTTTCAGGTTAGTATTATTATAAAGCATTTAAACATAGTAAGTGTAACTTTATTGGGCTACATACATTTAACAGAAAAAAGGCATTTTAAATGTTTATAACGAAAAAATAGTATTTCTTTTGTGATGCAATATTGCAATATTAAAGATTACGTTTTCTTTCTGACTTTGATGACAAGAGTTCAATAGTAAAGATGATACAAGTAAAAGACAAATATAATTGAATCGGTCATTTCAAAAATAACACAAGTCACATATTCCTAATTTTATAGGAGAGCAAAAAACTCAATAGTTGAAAGATGCATGAAATGGATGACCTCAAAATTCAAAGTTATATGTAATTGAGTTTTTGAAAAATAAAGGTTTTTTGAAAAATTATTTTTGAAATATTGGACTAATGCTGGTTTTGCATGAAACGAAAAAAACAACAGGAATACAACCATTTATATTTTTATTTCGAAAGTATAGTAACTACAAAAACTGGTAATTATTTATTATGGAACAAAATCAGATTCATTATCTGACTCAGGGCTACGTCGTCAGCTTGCTCACTGGTAGGCCATTGGAAAATTTTCTCGTAAAATAGTTTATATTCTTCTAAAATGCTGTTTTGAACTTGCTTGATATTTGCAATTATTTTGGATTAATAGCTACAGCATTATTTGGGTAAGCTAATGATGTTGCTAGCAACACGAGGAGTTTGGTTTTGGAAAGGAGAAACGTATGACTAATGAAACCGTTAATAAAATCGTAAGTCACAACTGTACCTTTTGCATGCTTATCGTATTCAAAAGACATAAACTATCTAACTAATCTAATATCTGACGTGTCTTCATCTCAAAAACGAAAAAAATTTGTCCCAACTCGTCATATCTGTCAATGAGAGCAAAAAACGGATCATCGTATGGTTCTTATTTTGTCCAGGACAGTTGTTGCTGAACAAAAATACTTCTTGTACGTTATCGGGTAAAAAAGTTTCAAAATAATGGGACAGCATGGAACAAACTTCATTAGCGCCTTTATTGGCTTGGCCTTCATGATAAACATATATCTTTTTCACAAATTCCCAAGGCATGAGCGAAAATTTTAAATGATTAAATAATGAAACTATAACAATGTAATCGAATAAAGTTTATTTATAAATCTACATTAACTTATATACAATAACAAAAACTACAGTTAAACAAAACAATGCTTAATTCTAATGTCAGACTAGTGATTAAAATATGTAAGAGTGAACACTATATTTTAGATTTTAAAAGTTAGGTGAATAATAATTGCAAACTGACTTAATGAAGTCTAATTCAGTAATGTTTTGATTAACGTAATATTCATTTAGCATATTTTCAATAAAATCAATTTTCTGTTTGCCGTTTTATCAAGGTTTTTTTCGAATCTATGTGCAGTTCTAATTTTCGCATATACTTCTGCTTGAACATTTAACAAAATGACTGTAAATTTAAATATCTCGACATTCGTTAAATTTCAAGTGAAATGATTTACATGCGTTTGTAGTAAATATAAGAGATAATGAATGTGAAGCCCACATGTAAGGTGGATATGTTGAATCTTCCGTTAAATAATTATCAACTAGGTAATTACAAAATTGCCAAACTCTGTCATCTTCTGGCATAATATTAATAAGTTCATAAGAAAAAAGTCACCAACATCATTTAGATCTAAATAAGGAATGCTGAAAAAGCATTTTAAATATTTTCCAATAACAGTTTGATTTTTATATTCCGAGGACAAACCTAAATTTTGAATTTTTCGGTACGAATTTTGTGTTAAATGGAATTTGCAACAAAAAATAATAATGTCGGGCCACACTAACGTGGCTGCATTTTGAATTGCTATTTCAAAATCAGAAATTATTCGCTTCGGTTTGAAATTTAAATTCAAATCTGTACATATTGTTATTAATGTATCAAAAGTACTTTTGTACGGTTGCTGTCATTTATTTGTTAACAAACAAAATACTAGAGGAACATAACAACCATTTTTGTAGCCATATATAGTAAACATCTGACAAAAATATTTAAAACAGTATTGAAAAGTTCCATCTACATACAAAGAATCTGCATTACACAAAAAGTAAAGATTTTGTGAAACAACTAAAAATTGTATTGAAACAACTGTATTTGTTTTTAAATTTAAGTTCACTAACACTTATACTCTGACTTAACTTCTTTCTGTGACTTGGGCAATGATGGTGTGGATTTTCGTCTTGCAGCATAGATATTTCTTCGAACGCAAGGAAATGTCTTTCGTCGTCAGCGGTAAATTGCTGAAATTTCCTTCCTCAATTCCTTGTGGACAATCTTTAAAGGTCTTTTACATATATCTTTTATAGCTTTCCTCTTCCGGCTCGAGGAGATAAGAATACGGCCGGGGCCAGAAGACCCTGCCTGTCGTAAGAGGCGACTAATGGGCGGATATGAGACATGGAGGGCCGTCGTTTGAGGTGTCAGGTTGGTAGAAACGCACAGAGATGCTTAGGTATCTCAGTCACCGGTCTACATTCCTAGTATCCGAGACGAGCACCTCGTGGGACCACTCTACTCTCATTTTCCACAAGAGCCGGGTGTGGTTGAACGAGCCAGTACGGAGGTTCCCCGGAAGCTGACACCGCGGAAGGGGAACGGGTGACCCAGCGCGTAACCACACCTCGGAATGATTTAACGAGTGGTAGAGGAGTGACTCCTCGGCGGCGACCTCTCTACGTGCGAGGTGGTATTCCACCACCTGCGTGCCCTTCCGTCTCCGGGGGGAGGACTCACGGAAGGGTGGCGTGACCCGCAACATAGGTACTACGGGGGAGGTGGAGCCCCACGATGTGCTGGCATCGTGCCACCTCCACTTGGTGTCGGACTCGTAGGGGCAGTGGCGTGCGCTAACGGTCGTATGCCGAAAGGCCAGGTAGACCAGGGTCCTGCCAATTCATTTTGGAGGGCACAAAGCTAAGCAATGTAGAATTACTAAAAATTTGCCGGTCAACGTGGATATCTGGAGCGTGATTATGCTCCACCGATGATTTTTCAAGAATATCGTAATTTTCATCACCTTCCTTTGAAATGGACTTTTGAATGTTAATATTCATTAATTATTAATAAAAGTTCCCCTTTGAGTAAACATAGTCGTTGGATTCGCCATTTAAAAGTTAAACACTAACGGACAAATACTTGCAACTGAAGTAAATAACTGAAAATATTTATATTCTTACTTTCAACTACAATCAATAGGGAGTACTTTTAAACACCGGATCACCTACATACAGGTTCCCAAATAATGGGAATAATTCAGTCGTGGATTTAACTTTTGCAACTCTAGATATATTGAAGATTATATATTGCAATATTGCATATTGAAGACGAACGTATTGAAAGAGTACACCGATTTAAATATCTGGGATATACAGTAAATGACAAGTGGGACCCCGAAGTAGAGATTAAGATCCGAATTGAAATAGCAAGATCCAAATTCATCAAAATGAGAAAGCTCTTAAGCAACCGCAACCTAAGCATTAACCTCCGATGGCGCGCCACGAAATGCTACGTACTCTCTACGCTACTTTACGGCGTAGAAGGGTGGACGTTAACAGCAGCAACTATAAAGAAGTTAGCGGCTCTAGAAATGTGGCTGTATCGACGCATACTGAGAATACCTTGGACAGACATAGTGACCAACACAGAGGTATTAAGACGAATGGGAAAGAGGTGGAATTGTTAACAACTGTTAAAAGGAGGAAAGCGTCATACTGGGGCCATGTGTTCCGTAATGATAAGTACAGTCTGCTACAGCTTATCGTGGAAGGCAAGATTGAAGGTAGAAGAGGTTTGGGCAGAAAGAAGAAATCCTGGCTGAGAAACTTGAGAGAATGGTTTCAAATACCAGAAGCTGCGAACATAATTCATGCGGCACAAAACAGAGAAACCTATCGTATGATGGTCGCCAATCTTCGGTAGAAGACGGCACATAAAGAAGAACTCTAGATATAGCAATTAATTGTGCATGGGAAACTTTACCTGATATATTGGGTTCAGACCATTTTCCAATTATTATAGAAATTAACAAAAGCATGGAAAGTAACGACATCATATACATTCAAAAACAAAATGGAATTTGAATAAAGCAGATTGGAGTCTATATCAAGAAGTTGCGAATACATATTTCTCACAACACAATAAAAATAGCTATAACGCGTAACATAATTATAGCTTATTAATTGAAGGGATAAATAAGGCAGCCAATGCCTCTATACCCATTTACCAACCCTTTAAACTGAACAAAAAACTCTTCTTCCACCATAGTGGGATCAAAGCTGCGAAGAGGCTATTAAAAAAAGAAAACAAATGCTGTGTTTAACCATAAGATTTTTAGTCAACCAATTAGATTACCAGAATTAAATTATATTATAAATAACAGAAAGAATACATCACCTGGATATCCTATGATGTTCCAATTACCAAACAATTACCCCCACCTATGTGACTTATATAGACCTATTGCACTTATGCCATGTATGCTCAGGGTTTTCGAAAGAATAATTAAAAATCGATTGGAATGGTGGTTAAGTACAACCGGCGCTCTGCCAACTACAATATGGTTTTAAAAAAGGTTTTGGCACAATAGATGCGGTGACACACTTAGTTACAGACATACAAATAGGCTTAACTGAAAACAAGTATAATCGAACGATGTTTCCAGATGTTAAAGGTGCCTACGATAATGTCAACTGGTTCATCTTACGGGAAAAAATGATGCAATTACAAATACCTCAAGAAGTTGCTAACACGATATGCAAATTATATATAAACAGACATTATGGGTGCCCAGTAAAATACCAAACTGCAAATTTAGGTTTGCCACAAGGATCTGTCCTTGCATCATTACTTTTTAACATATATACTACTAATTTACACACCTCCATATCTAAAGCAACTATTATACAATATGCCGATGATTTTGTTTATAAACGTTTTTATACCGTGCCGTGTTTATATACGTTTATACACGTAGCAAACATCTCGACGAATGCATCAATCGTTTGAATTCAAATCTCCGCAGAAAAATCGAAAGTTATAATCTTCACCAGGCATAAACATGAAACCGATGCAGAAAATTACAATAGATGGTATATAATTTCCGGTGGAGACTAATGTCAAATACTTGGGAATTACATTAGACAGAAAATTGACCTGGAAACTTCATATTGAACAAATAGAGACAAAATGCAATAATGGACTAAACTTCTTAATATCCATTATGCGACTTGATGGGGTGCAGAAACTCAAATAGCTCTAGTCTTTTATAAAGCTTACATAAGATCAATAATTGATTATGGTATCAATACACTTTATGGAACAGCCAATAAAACAAATCACTCAGAATATGTCTGGGAGAAATGAAATTTACAACAGTTGAACCGTTAAGAGCTGAAGCAATCGGACCTCCATTAGAACTGAGAAGATCCTTTTTAGCTGAAAAAATGATTACTAAGTCGCTAAAGAAAAACTCACCATTCATTGGCAGCATATATAAGTTAAACGAATACGACCTAACTAAGCCTTTTTGGATTCATAAAAACTCTCCTCCTATTTGTGATGGATTAAGAAACGTGACCTTAAAACCACAAACAAAGCTAGGGGCCGACTACTTTAATCACTTTGTTTACTGTGATGTGAATATACCCCTTTATTCGGAGTTCATCATCATTTAATAGTACAGTCATCAATCAAATTTCAGAGGAACATCCAAACTACGTCACTATATACACTGATGGATCAAAAAAACACCGATGGTACAGGTTGCGCCTTCGTAAGACCTAAACGTATACATAATAAATATAATTTAAACAAAAACACATCTATTTTCACAGCTGAAGCAATAGCAATTCTAAAATCACAATATGTTCATCAGGAAGAGGATCAGAATGCTATAATCTTTTCCTATTAACTTTCCGCTCTTAAAATTTTAAAATCAAACTTAAACACAACCAATGACATTATTTTTAGAATCCAAGCAATACTTTACAAGATTTACAAGATCAAAATAAATATATAAAATTTTTCTGAAATAATCATAGCAAAACAGAGAATGATGAATAAATGGTTATATTTATGGCAAGAGTACAGCTTTACAAATCCAACACGTTACATCAGACTTGAAACCAAATTAAAGAGAAAACCTTGGTACAATGAGTACGAGTACAGTCGAATATAAGTATAAAAGTATAACTACTATCAGCAGAATGAAGATTGGTCACGCATGTTATCCAGCACATTGATTTAAAATAAAAATACTTGAGAGTGATCTTTGTGAAGCCTGTAATAAAATCGGTGACCTGGACTACATCTTTTTTTATTGTTTAAAATATAGAGCTCAATCTAATCAGCTTTTCAGAAATCTTTTAAAATTAAACATTGAAAGCCCATATAATACTGCATCTTCTTGCTTTAGACAGAAAAGAAATTTACGATTGCTTGCTGTTTTTCGTCAGAACAACGAATATCAAATATAACTACCTTTGTTGATACCTGATGTCTTTCCTTAATGTATGTATACCTGTCTGTCCGAGGCCTACCTTTTATTGTTTATAAAAATGCCCTGATCGGCCTCTGGCCAAGAAGAGTGTAATCCCTGTGTAATCCTTGTATTGTATCTGTTTTTTAAAATTTGTGTCTGGCTGTGTGGGTATTTACCTTAAAGCTAATAACAAAAAAAATGCCCAACTTTCTCGGGGATGGGGCAGCAGGTACTTGGGATTAATGGGTCCAGGTATACTTTAAAAAGTAGGAACCCGATATTTACATTGACATTCAGAAGGATAAAAAAATTAAGATCACGTTACATACGAATATTTTTGGCAGCACTTTGTTTCAAATTATAACTACTCATTTGAAAAGCAACGACAGGACAACCTCATATCAGCAGAAAGATATGAGATAGTAAAAAAGAAAGCTAATAACCGAAAAGATTGGAATGAAAAGAAATACAATTATATTTACACAAAAAATTTAAGAAAACATTGCAGATATTTCGGAGAAAAAAAGATGAAATGGAGTTGTTAGCATTTGATTATATAAAAAACATTTGTCTTCTAACTAATGGAAATATTTTTTTAACGTCAACTCTGAGAATACAACAAAACTTTTGCACCAGTCTTTTTAATTGTGAGGAAACTTTTAATCAACTGACAGATGTGCCCATTTTATTACCAAAATATTGTTAAAATATTAGTTTACTGAGTACTGCATATTCAATGTGACAAAGTATAGTGTATAAATGTTTATAATGTATATGAAATAAAGCATTAAACAATTTAACTTACGTTTAAGATTATTATTATTGTTATTTTTCTTTGCAGTTCTGTTAATGCAACTGAGTTTAATGATGATCAGCTTTTCTTTAGCAAACATGTTTATAAAATACTTCAATCCGCAAGATATTATAGCCATAATATTTTGTTCGACGCACAAATCTTTAACGCTAGGTAAGTAGTTTTAAAGTCATAATTGAGGCAGTCTACGTCAGAAGGGCACATAGGACAAAAGTGGGTTTTGAAAAACAAAAACACGTTGAAATTTTAACCTGTTGCTATATATACTAATTTGTTTAAAAATTGAGAAGCTTACTACGCATTAAAACTATTTATCTAGAAAGCCAATTTCTAAGTATGATATCGATAAAAATAAAGCTTATGTTTAAAAATAAGGAAATACAAAAAGCTGTTATGTGCCCCTTTTAGTTAGAACAGAGGATTTTTTATTGAAATTAATTTGCATGTGAAGAAAAAGAAGCATTATATATACTTTTTTAATACATTACATATTACATTTTTAATACATTATCAAACTATCCATTCAACATTTCATATTTAATGAAGTTTACATCTTCATTTAGGAATCTGAAAAGGCTTTTCTGTATATCTTCGGGAACATGAAATGCCACCGCTAAGCTTTGTTAATAGTCTTGTTGATCAAACCAAAATTTCTGTTACATTGGGAAAAGCTGTGACCTCTAACCGGAAACAGTTGTATGGCAGTTACTTGAAATACTCTTGCAAACCACGATGGAAATCGTGTAACAGTTAAATTTCTGCTTTGTCCTTATTTTAATACAATCAAATAAAAAAGGTACCACAGAATTAGGATTCTTCTTTCCATCACACTCCGTAAATGTATAGCAATAACTAGAGTCGTCGTTAAAAACACGAATGTTAAAACAGTACAACCGAAACATTCATTTGTAAAATTGGGTATTGACATTTAGCTTTGGTATTGGGAAATTTTGAGAATAGTCGAACTCCAAAACCAGATGCGAGGAATTTTCTTCTTTGGATTTAGAAATATAGATATCACGCAGTTCTTTTCTGTCATTTGCTTTTCTTTTGTGAATTTAAAAAAAAACATACATGGGTCTTTATCATTGATGTTTAGCTTGATCTTACATTCTTGGCAATAATCGCATATAGCATTTTTTACATAAAAAGCTTGCATGTTAGTAAGTGAGGAATTTTTAAAATGTCAACTATTTGTCAAACTATTATATTAACAGTAAATACACTTAGTTTTAAGACTACTGCAACACATTAAAATACATAAGAAAACATTTTAATACAAAATTTTATATTCTAAATTTTAAACTTACCTCTTTTAGGGCTTTAATAGTAAAAACGTCCCGCCATTATTTCTTGTTCAAAATAGTCTATCTTATATGAAAGCTTATCAGCCTTCTACATACTATTAATTTTTTGGCATATCACAATCACAATACACAACAATAATTAGTTTTTAAAGCTATTAATTTAAATTTAATATGTATTTATAAATACAATTTATTAATATATATTATATTATGATCAAATTGTGTAAGAAATCAAAACATAAACAAAATTTTTACTCTAAAAAAGCTTTACACACTTTTGCCACCCGCTGAACTGTCAATACAATTTGAAGTATTTTCGTATCAGTTGCTACAATTGTCTAATATATTTAATTAAAATTATTATTTTGTGGTATATTAGTCTTAAAGAGTTATTTCATGAAATTTATATTATTAATAATAACAAATGTTTTTGGTTATTTAATCAATATAATTTTAAAATTTCCAATATAATGATGATTACATTTTTCTGACCCGGCAACGCTGCGGTCAAGCGTATGAAGTGCAATTGACTTGCTCCTGCATTAAACCCGAAAATTGAGAGATGCAGATTGAAATAATTGTGACAAAGCAGCAATAAGTGTGTGTAAAGTTACAACGAGTGTCGCAGTGTGAATAAACCGACAGTAAGTGGCTAATTACTAACAATAATAAACAAAATCAGTTGTTCCGATACGATCAGTTTCTGTTGTTTAATTTAGCGATAAGAGCAAAAGAACTAATTCGACCACGGGATTCTGACCGGTAGAAAAGCGGTGTTGCCGTAATGCAAAAATAGTAAAGAATTTAAAGAGAACAGAATTATACATTTTATTGTGAAGAAAACCACAGCTTAATAGAAAACCGATCAATAAAAGCAAGACTTACGACCGGGGTCTACTTTTTACGCGATTGGACAGTTGAACTGAACAGCTAATATCACGAGCACAATTAGAAAACAATGGATAGTGAAGACGAGTACACCACGGATGAGGGCAAAAGAAGGAAAAGCTCACAAACATTTTGTTTAGGAAAGTGCTCAAAAACTAAAAGATCTCCAGACATGAAAGAGAAAAAAGAAGATAATTCAGGAAAAATAATGGATATGATCCAAGGCTTGCAACGATTTATAGAAGCAGAAATGAAGGAAATAAAACAAGAACAAAAAAAATGTCTAACAGAAATTCAAGATTTGAAAAAGGAAAATACGCAAATCAGGAAAGAAAATCAAGAGATCAAGAAAGATCTTATACAAGCAATGGACAGAATTGAAAGACTTGAGAACGAGAAAAGAAGAAATAATGTAGTAATTCAGGGACTACCAATAGAAACAAATAACGTAGAAACAGTGAAGAGCAATATGCAAAAATTTATAAGTACGCACCTGAACATTGAGATTGAAATAGGAAGGGCAATTAAAATAGGAGAAAAGACCTGTTTATTAGAACTAAAAGATAGTAACCAAAAATACACACTTATGAACAAAAAAGCCAAACTAAGAAATATTAGAGAACACAAAGTATATATAAATGATGATATGAGCGAACAGCAGAGAATTATTCAAAAAGAAATTAGAGCTAAAGCTAAGGAAGAAAAGAGTAAAGGGAATATAGTCCAAATGGGGTTTCAAAAACTTATAATAAATGGAGAAGTATGGACGTGGAACAGGGAGATGAAGGTTCTCAACAAAGCCAGGAAGAAATAGCAGACCAGCGGCCAAATAGAACTGATCAACATGGAATACCAAACAAGGCGAGAATAAGGTTTAACGATATAATTGAATTGGACAAAAAAGAAAATATAATACAAGATCAAGGTACAAATAGACTACAAACGTACATAAAAATGGCTACGTGGAACGTCAGAAGCCTCAATGGAAAAGAGAGAGAAGTAATAGATATATTTGACAAAGCACAATTAGATTTTTTGGCGATCACGGAAACTAAACAGAAAGGTCAAGGAATGGATGAATTGGATAAAGAACATGTATTTTTGTACAGCGGAGTCAGTAACGATAGTAGAGCTGCAGAAGGTGTAGGATATCTAATGAGAGCAAGCTATATGTCATGTGTTAAAAATTGGAAATGTATATCACAAAGAAATTTAAAGATAGATAAATCAGAAATAACAACTATATTAGTCACATATAGTCCCAATGATGACGAACCATTGAAAGTTAAAGAAGAATATTGGGAAGAGCTCAATGATGCCATAGAAGATGTGAAAGGTAGAATAGTCATTCTAGGCGATATGAATAGTAGAGTTGGTAAAAGAGACGATGATAACATAGATATTTTGGGTATGCAGGGGAAGATACATAGAAGACGATAATTTAAGAAGAATGATAGACTTTTGCATGGATAATAATATGATTATCACCAACACATTTTTTGAACACAAAGATATACACAAGTTCACTAGAGAAGTCAGGAACAGAAATGAAAAATCGATTCTAGATTATGTTCTCATTAATAGAGAATTTAGGAAAGAGGTCACTGGTGTCAGAGTTAAAAGAGGCCCGGAAATCTATTGGGACCGTGCAAGTTCGGAACAGCGACACCTGGTGTCGTAAATCAGCAAAATTTACTGCGCTTTTATGTTAGATCGAGGTAACCGGATAACTGTCAAGGTCGTGGCCCCAAAAAAGAATAAGAAGAAAAAGTAAGATTGAGGTTATGTCGGTATGTTATTTACCGACTTACTCTACTCGATCTTATTTACAGATTTACATAAAGATTATGTAAAATTATGTCAAGATGAGTAATTGGAACACGGAAATTACCAATTTTACAGCAAAATCTTTAAGAAGGAGTATGACCTCTGTTTTCATGTACCAAAGAAGGATCAGTGCGAGTTGTATTTGGAGTATCGCAATTGTTCAGAAGCCGAGAAAGCTAAATTGGAAGACGAACACATTTAAAGGAAAAGGTACTCAGCCGACAAGAAAAACAAAACGACAAACAGAAGACTGCCGATGATGTGACAGTTTTAGTTTATGACCTTCAAAAAGTTTTTCCGTGTCCTATTCTAAATGCAAATTTATTCTATTAGGTCTCAAAGTTGAATGTTTTTAATTTTAGTATATTTATTATCAAAACCACAAAAAGAGTCTGCTATTTGTGGCACGAGGGTGGAGGTTTGGGAGGTGCAAACAAAATAGGAACATGTATATTTAAATATCTTGAAGATTTTTCTAATAAAAGTAATGTAGCAGATTTGAACATAATTCTTTACTCTGACAATTGTTGTGGGCAAAACAACAACAAGAATATACTTGCCTTTTATATATACATGATCAACAAACTAAGAATCACGTCTATCACCCACAAATTTTTCGTTAAGGGACATAGCCAAAACGAAGGAGACAGCGTACATGCCAAAATCGAGAATGAGATTACAAAATATAAAAAGTCCAGTCCTATATTTGTTCCTGATCAATATGTTGTGATTAATATGCTGTTATAATCAGACAGGCTAAAAAACGGGCAAACCCCACTCTTCGAGTTATTAAACTGCAAACATTTGATCCCACTACCTTTTTTATAAGCACTCGTATGACGAAGAAAGTTTTATGGAAACCGAAATTATTAATTACAGAAAAAATATTGAATTTGATAATATATTATTTTTGGAAACACTATGAATTTCTGACGCAAAGAATGGGGGTTACTGGAGTTAATTAAAAAAAAACATGGGTTTCGCATTATTACTTAGATTTCTTTAAAACCCTTTGAATTATTTTGGTATTCGCTTTATGTTCTGCTATTGCGTCAAATTTTAATATTAATCATAGTGTTTAAATACCAAAAAATGATTATTTCGACAAGGATTTATTACTTTTAATATTTT